GAGCTTTCCTGAGGGGACGCGGGTGACATGAATGGTGCGAGGTAATGAACGCTGAATTGGTGGCTGGCGGGGGTTTTCTGCTCGTTGATGGCACTGGGGCGCGTTGGAGCAAATATGCAAATATCCCGAATCGAATCGATTGATCTGTGATTCTTGTGCCGCCATAACACGATGTAAAAGCTGTTTACATTGTAGGGGCTGGGGAAATCTGCTAAGCAGATTACGGCCTTTCGTTCATCAATGGGAAGGCAATTACGATCCATTATGTCTGGACTGGCATGTTATTATCGATTGGGAGATGGTTTCTGTGGGCTAGATGGAACACGTGCTTGATCATATCGTCCACTTATAACACATCAACAACAAGAAGGCCAACGGTGAATAGTCTCTCTCCGATTGCCAGCATTTGCCTGGTAATACAGCCTGGTATAAGGCCATGATTCGTATTCCATCGAACGCCTTCTAACGAACATGACATAAAGCGTCGGAACGATTTTGCAGGATCGTCCAAGTTGAACACGTTGCTCCCACGAAGCTTTTCCCTACGATGTTGATAATAAGTGAAGATGCTTGGCCAATGCGCTTGCCGAATTTTGTGCCAAGATATTGCGGCATTCTGCCATGGCTTGACTTGTAAGCTTTATGTGACTTTCTTCCTCTCTTTCCTGATCATAAGACAAACTGATGTGAATTCCTTGTGATATCGTTAAGCTTCCTTATTTTCCGAGATTTCTTGTCTCCCTCCCAGCTCAAGAGACCTGGTCGTCGTTTCCGGACACCAGTCGAGCCGCTCCCGCTGCGAGCCCGCACGCTCTTCTGTACCCCTGTGTCGCGCGAGGGTGCCCCGATCGGTCGGAAGAGCGGCCGGCTCGCCGGCAGCGACTCCCCGCCCCACTCCGTCGGCCGTCTCCAGCCGCGTCGGTGCCGACGGGGCGCGCCGCGCCGACCCCGCGTGCTCGGCGGACGCCCTCCACTCCGCCGGTTCCCACGCCGTCGTCGCTGCCGCTTCCGACAGCGCCCTTCTGCCCGGGCGCGGCTACTGGCCGCCCGTCGTGCTTACTCCCTTTATCATCCCCGTCCCCCCCCCCCCCCCCTCTTCCCCGAAGGCGTCCGTACGGCCGCGGTGCATACACAGCGGCGGTTTCAGCCTGGCGTGTAGTGCGTGCCTGGTGCCGCCATTGAGGCGTTCCCTGTGTCGTTACGTTATTTATTGACAGCCCGGCGGTGTTGGTGGACCATCATTTGTAGCTGCTCCAGTGCCAGCTGCCTCCATAATCCCCTCAAAAGGAACGCAAATAAATATACAAGGCCGGCCGGGGAGGGTGGAGATGTCGCTTGGACCATGTGCCTTCTCTCCTGCTGGGTTTGTGATAATTAGCTTCCGCAGTTAAGCGTGGGAAACATTTTCGCCCGTTCCGAAGATCTGGACAGCGTGTTCTGCGTACCGGCAGCAACGTGATAAGGATCGGAAGTGCGAGACATTCCGCACCATACCACACAAGAAATACGCTGCTGCATCTCATTCTCTCCGTCAGAACTTATGTGGATATCCTGAGTCATATGCATGAGCGTCGGTGGGACTAATTGACTCAGGTGGGGTGCCAGTTGTTAACCAGGTGGAGGTCCGCCAAATATGGCACCATATCGCTTTTTGTGCGGCCAGCTGGGGAAGAGCGCGCTCACTTATGTCGCTCTAAACGAACCATGCGCCGCAGATAATGCGCTTTGCTTACAGATGAGGTTTTTACGGCGGGGAGCCGGTCGTTGCAAAGCGCTGAGAAAGTGTGCCTGACGAGGCTTGCGACCTTTGCGACTCGGTTTGTATGGTCCGCTATTTGTCCTCAGCAAAACAAGTGTCACAGGATACGCAAACACCTGACGTCGTTGGTAACGCAACACGATGGGGGCTTTCTGCGACAGTGGGGGCGTCACCCCGTGAATAATAATCACGACAAACGCAAACAGCGCCCCTGTCGGTCCGCCGAGCGTAACTCAGACTCAGTCAGACACCGCCTGAAGTGTATTGCGCTGCGTCGGCAGCGGGTGAACCGCGGTGGTTGCCAACAGCGAACGAGCGGCACGTTTTGTAAATCAATGTCTAAGTGCCACTGGTGCTGTGGTGAGATGCAGTATTTTTCCATGTTTGTCAACGCGGGACGGGACTATGAACGATACGCCAGAACAGGTCACCTTGTGTATGCAAATATCCCCACTTCTGGAAAACACCGCAGGATGGCTAAACACCGCCGGATGTTGATGAGTCGCTGCAGCAGTCCATATCGCTCACATGTGGGCAGACCCTACCGCTGCACAGGGAGGCTGTCATTCGAGACATTGTGCAGAAAATATGGCGGAATGGGTAAGCGGGATCACCAAAAATGTTAATGGACAAGAACTGGCGATGCAGCGACAGAGCGTCGCCCTTCACCGTTGTGTCCTCGCTGGTGCGCGAAGTTCTACAAAATAACGTTTGGGTTGTTTGCGATGCACCTAGCTGCTGACGTCATTGTCGCATCCTCGCACGCCGGTTGAGGGAGGGGGGGGGGGGTGAGGGGGAGGGCAGTGATACACTAGTCTTGTACCCAGGCTGGAACCTGCGACTCGGAACATCAAGTAAGCATGGGCAAACGCTGCATCGACTGAGCCGCGCCCTCCCAATCAGTTTAATTAATGGTGATCGTTAAGCTAACGGAGAACAGTCAGCGAAATATCGCCGATGCAAAGCCATTCTGCGCGCTCGTGGCTGGGGAGCTTAGCAACGCAGATTCGTGCCATCACTGAATGTTAGCACGGGCGGCTGCGATGTTGGAATGGACATGCAGTCTTGCAGGAACTCATACATGTAACCGAATGCGGCACACCGAAGCGGCTTAAACGTACCGCTTGCGGTCTTCTACCGGGAAAAGGACACGAGCTCGGTCCTTGGCCGAGTCGGTCTTTGGTGCGCTTATGTGCCTTACTGGGAAGGAGTCATCCGGCCGGCTGTAAAACCTCAGGATGTGCAGACCGCGACCCGTCACAGTGACCAGTGGAAGCGAGATATGACCTCACGCCCGGGTCTCTCCGCTGGCACTGAGTCACGGTGACAGGCTGTTTAAGGCTGGCGGTGATGTGTGGCAAGTTATGACTCATCTGCACTCATTATCGGGCGGGGTGAGTGAGACGGGAGAGAGGGGCAATGGTGACTGGACGAAATGGACGCAGAAGCTGTCGCGGGTTCTGCAGGCTGCAAGCAGCCTGAAGCGGGGACCAGCGGTAGTGCGACAGCGGTTCAGACGTGCTGTCTGACATGCTGTTCAGGCATGCTGTCGTCCCCTGACCATACATCGCGTCGTTGCTCCTAGCCTGTCACCACGTGACCATGCCGGCGCGTGTAGAGTCCGCAAGGGAGCGTTCCCGACGCCCGACAACGAGCCTGCGCCGAGTATCCGCCATCCGACCCGCAGGCGGCGCCTTGCAACGTTTGCCTGGTGCTGACCCGACAGACCGCACCGCCCACCGTCCGGGAGATGCAACCACCATGGCAGTCCTCCGCTGCCCCTGCTCTGTATGCATGAGCTCTGTCGTCAGGGACCCCGCAGATCTGGCCGGGGCCGTGCACCCACCCCTGACCTCTCCCCCGTCTGCTGACACGAGACGAGGCCGAGCTGATGACAACCCCCGCCGTCTGCCCCTTCAGGTACGTGCTCATCGGGCACAATCACCTGTACAGCAAGATCTACCGGTTCCCGTGCATCGTTGCCATGGCGATCGCCGTCTGGATCTTCAGGTGAGTCGCCCCGCCGATTCCGCCTGCATGTCATGTTTGGCGTGCAGGGCGTGCATGGGCCGTGCACCTGCGCTGCCGGATGCGACGCAGAGGGCCTCCTCTTCACGTATGCTCGGCCATGCGCTTTAAATTGTTGAGGATGACGCTTCGCGTGTCGCGTCACGTGCTGGATGACTAAGAAATTTCAGGAGAGGTCGGCTTATCCTGTTGTGCTGGCGTTTGGCAAACCATCACTGCTCGTGACATGGGATAAAGACGGGCCGGTTTCCTCAAATGCAACGGGTTAAGTGCCTGTATATACCATTAACGTTTCCTTTAGAAGACGCATCACTCAACAACGGACCCATTCATCTGTCGCTAGCGGTAACAATTTACGAGCTGGAGATGGTGTCAAGCATCGCTGGCACCCAGACGTATACAGCCGCAGACAGCCCCTGATTGCTGGGACTGAGTTACGAAGATCTCGAAACCCGTCACATGCACTGCACGCATCTAAATTGATCCCGATTTATAAACACACTCGTGGCTTTCCGGTCCTATAGACTCCGTTAGTTGTGTTCGAGGAGTCTCTGATGTCTGGATCATCCTAGGTTTCGCGGTCGCTAGTGTCAAAAGTTTTTTACGCGCCATGCTGACGTGCGGCAAAATCACACTTTTTATCTACCTTTTTGTTTAAGCCAACGAGCCCGACAAACACCACTCGTCGGGAACGACTCCGCAGCCATTCCACGACAACGGCGTTCGCGGAATTGCGCAGTCGTCCTGAAATCGCCGATCCTCGCGGAGCGAAGCGCGCTGTAGCATTCCGCGCGGGTATTGTGTCCGAGTGACTAATTATCGGTAATAGGCTGGGCCGAATGCCTCCGCGCCGCGCCGCCGAAACAGGCCCCCGAGTATGCAGGACACGCCACGGCGGCCCGTCTCCGCCGCCGCGGCACGGCCCGAGCACGCGCTCCCGCGAGAGCCGAGCGCACCCCGACGCAGCTCGGCTGAGAGCCGAGCGCACATCGCGCTGTGCAGATGGTCGCGAACTCTCAGTCAGCCGCAGAGCTGGACAAGTAAAACATCGGCACCGCCAGACAGGTTTAACTCGATGCTCTTTGCGATGCGAGACCTGCTGGCTGGAGTCATTCAGTGTCATGTCATGTCAGTATCGCTGAAATGCATAATAGCTCCCGACTCCAGTCGTCGTATAATTGTTCCCCGAGGCCTTCGACTTAGCTCCGATGCTGCTTGGCGGGTACTTGCGCAGTCCTGTGACCGTTCCGTCTCGCCGTCAGCTTCGCTATGATGTTGCCGCCGCTGCTGGAGGTATGGGGTCGGCTCGGCCTCGACGAGCGTACCTTCTCCTGCACGATCCTGAAGAAGAACGGCAAGTCGCCCAAGAAGATGCTCTTCGCAGTCGGCGTGCTCTTGCCGTGCTTGATTATCGTCACATGCTACGCGCTCATCTTTGTTAAGGTCCGCCGCAGTCGGCAGACCATCCGTGGCCACAGGTGAGAGGGAGGGAGAGAGGAGAGGAGAGGAGAGGAGAGGAGAGGAGAGGAGAGGAGAGGAGAGGAGAGGAGAGGAGAGAGAGGAGAGGAGAGGAGAGGAGAGGAGAGGAGAGGAGAGGAGAGGAGAGGAGAGGAGAGGAGAGGAGAGGAGAGGGAGAGGTGGTGTGGACATTCGGGACAGGGAGGCGGTTGAAGTACAGTTTTCCTATGTGGCGGTGACGAATACGGCCAAGAGTCAGCTGTCGTTCTGCGAAACCCGGTCGTTCTGGAAATCGGTCTCCATGTTGATCAAACAAAGTCGTCCCACCGTTTATGTGGTACAAAAACGTGACTGAATCCGCGAAGTTGCCAGAGGAGGATTAGGAGAACGGAGACCATTAACACCAGTATCGTTCTAAAACTGTTCAGTGTTTAGCACGGTGCTTATGTGTGAGCAGACTGTGCTAACGGTATAGATGAAGCTTATTTTCATTCCTGCATCCTTGAAGGAGCGGGTGAAGCTTTGTATGATTGCAGAAGGGGCCGTGACCCTCATTGTACGCCCCAGGCGCTTTCAGGAGGTCTGTCCCCCCTCCCCATAACACTCGCTAAGAATGCTCCCCAAAAAGCTTCTGTTTTTTTCTCTAAAACGCACTCCTCTGCCTTACAATGAATAAGACTATCTCCTTCTCCGGAAAGCGTTAGCTATTTCGTGTTTTGTCTCCGAGTGCAGCGTTTCATAGCCCCCCACCGCCGAGGCGCACGGGGTGGAATGGGCGCCTGTCGCGCCATTGAGACGCAGCATGAGTTTCCAGCTCGGGGCGCCAAGGGGTCGCCAGGCACGCTGTCTGGTTTCTATCTAGCGCTGTGTAGCCGCGTAAACAGCGTTCACTCCCGCGGGAGGGCTGGGGCGCGGCATGAGGTGTCAACGTCCTAGGAGTGACTCGCCGCTGGTACGGAAGATCGCCATCCGCTAGACAATTCGGTGGGCTACCTCGCGCCGAATTAAGGTTAACTGGGGTCCGCTTTCGTGTTTCAGTTCATTCACCGGCGGCGCTGGGAAAAAGTGCGGAAGCCCTGACATCTAGCGGTGGGCTGCGTTACTAAAGCTTTGGACTTCATTTCAGCATGCATGGTGCGCGGACGTCAATGAGCCCGTCCAAGCAGAGCGAGCAGCAGAAAAATAACGCGCGGAAGGAAGATATGAGGCTGACCAAGATGATGCTCACCATCTTTCTGGCGTTCTTGGCCTGCTTCTTCCCGCTGATGTTGGTCAACGTGTTTGACGATGATGATGTAAGCGACAGGGTTGCGAAATGATGTCATGAGTTGTACGCAACATGGTCGATGGCTGCTCCCAACGAGCGTTTGATTAATGGTGATGGTTTTGCTGAATGTTGAGTGGGCATTGGAGAGAGATGATCTGTGTATCAGTCTGGCTCAGTATTCATGTCACATTTTGATGAATAGCGGTGAATGTGGTTAGGAATGGACACAATTGCCGTATACATAATACGCTGTCAAAGAACGAAAACGATTCGAGGACATAGCGTGGTTCGGCCGTCTCGTTATGCGTTCTGCATGACTTATCCGTTTTCTGGCAAAACTAAACGCTCTGGAAGGAAAAAAGCATGTGAAGTTGAGGTTTTTCCCCGAATAGTTTATTCCACGGCATTGAGTAATGCAATTCAACCGGTTTTCGTTCGCACATGTTTCACCACGCAATTTCGTCTAACCTCCGTTGAGTGCTTCATCATTCCATGGACTTGTGCTATGCGCTCTCACCTCTCACCGCTCTCTGCTCCAGGTGCGCTACCCCAGCCTGCACGTAGTGGCGTCGGTGCTGGCCTGGATGTCGGCCGTCATCAACCCCTTCATCTACGCCTTCTCGAACCGGCAGTACCGCTCTGCGTACCGCCGCCTGCTGTGCGGCTCGCCGCGGCCGCCCAGCTTCGCACAGCGCCGCCTCGCGCTCGGCCAGCAGCCGTACCTTCATCACGGACGTGTTCCAGTACAACGTCATCTCGGGCCGCATTGTGCACAAGAACCAGCGGCGCGACGACAAGTGAACCGCCGCCGGGGTCACGGGGTGAGCGCGGGGTCAGAGTTCAGAGCACACGCCGCGCGTGCCCGGCTGGTACAAAGCTGCAGGGGCGCGGCCGCGGCGCCCGACTGTGATAGGGGAGGCGACGCTGCGGCGCCGGCGGCACAGGCGCCCCTGAGCGCGTGTCTGGCGATAGTCAGCTATGGCGCGGCGCTGCGGGGAGGGAAGCAGCGCAGTCGGAGGTGCTGCGAGCTCGGCGGTGCCCGGCGCGTGGTGTGGGAGCGACGTGGGCGGTCCGCGGAAGGTGCTGTGTACATGATCTAGTGTTCGCGCTGTGTCTGGGATGATCGTCTCGGTTGAGTCGGGCCAGAGGCGTCGCCGGTACGCCATCCATTCGCACACGTCCACGCCTTTGAGGATTCAGGAACTTGATTTTATCGTTTACGTGTTTTTGTTTACGAGATGGAAAAGACGGGTTATTTTACGGCTCTTCAACGGACTTCGATTTGTCAAACCGTGTAGGCATGCATGTCACCAGCGCCATCTATTCATGTTTGTAGTCCAGCGCCATCTGCAACGGATGGCGCGTCCCGACTTCACTTCAGAGACGTCGCGCTGGCTGCCCCGCGCCCTGCTGCTGTCGGTCCGCTATCTTACTGGTGTAAGATGACTAAAATGCCATGACTATGGACCAGAACTCGAGATTTGTTTATGAAGCGCGTGCGCAAGGTCTATGAACTATTCCTTTTGCTTGGTCACTCGAACTCACATGCTTGGAAATAAACCGTGTTGGCATAGAACCTTGAAATGTTTTTACGATTCTATTGCTGTGCTGGTGCTGTAAATACTGGTAGGATTTTTTGTGCCGGCCGTCTTATTTTTAAAGATGGAATATGTGTGTGGGTGTAAGGCTATAGCAGATAGTTAAGTGTTTGCGAAAAAACAAAAACTACCATGCTGCTACCCCATTTTGTTGTTTTACAACCTTCCGCAGACTATACGCATGTATATATGAGCGTCATAGCGCGTGGAAACATGTATTGCCTGACTTGTGTTGGTAATGTGTAGGTGCACTGAATGTACTGGAGTAAGGCTAGCGATACTCCCCGCTTGCTTGTCAGTGACAGTGCTGCGAGCCGGCTAAAACGTCATGCCTCATCTGCTGAGTCGACTCGAGGCAGGCGCCGATTAACACCACTGATATGGCATTTTCCGAACAGTGTCTACGAGCTGCTTAATATACTGAAAGGCGTGTTTTTACAGAGATCCTGAGTTTTCGGTAGCCTCCGAAAAGGAAGCGTGATAACACGAATCGACATTATATGAAGCATCGCTCAATTCATGTTTTCGCGAGTGCCCACATTGAAATGCCTCTGAACGTAAGAGCCACACTGGTCAAGGCTGTTTCGTGCATCACCCCAGTGTACTGTTCCGACGAGGTCCTCGCAGTACACTGTGGGCTTGGGGGCAAAGACTCGGGTCGTGGAGGCAGGCCTCAGTCTGTGCAGACCAGGGAGCGATGCGACAGCTGCGATACACAGGGCCAGTTCATTCGTTGTGCGTGACACACTCCGCGCATCCTCTGCTAAAGACAGACCTCGTTCATCCTCGTCGATGGTCCTGTGCCCGACAGCCTCGGCTGGGAGGGGGGGGGGGGGGGGCAGCTTGGTGAGGATCGATCTCTGTGACGTTATCCCAGGAGGGGGAAGAGGGGATGGGGACGCGAAACGGGGCCAACACGGCCTCAGCCACCAGTAATGAAGCTTTCTGAGAAACCCGCTGCGCACATACGTGCTGCTCAAACAGTGTTCTGATGCGCCGGCTGCTGCGTCGATCTGTGGGGAGGTCATCAGACTGGGGAGGAAGACCCTTGGACGAACTGGGGAGAAAGAGCCTTAGGCCAACAGGAGAGAGAGACCTGGGCTAGCTGGGGCGAAAGAGACAAAGGCCAACTGGAGAGAAAGAGCCTTAGGCCACTCGGGAGGAAGAGCTTTATGCTAACTGGAGAGAAAGACCCTTAGGCTAACTCAGGGGCGGATCTAGCCTGGAGTTTTTTTGTTCTTTTTTTTTGGGGGGGCAACCGTTCGTCGCCAACAGGCCACACACAACACAAATTCACAGATTGAGATAGGTACACAGATCAAGAAGAAGGCAGGTCATGTTCTTTAGTGGGAGCGTTGACAAGGGCTGAGATGATTAAAAACGCTTTCTGGCTCTTAAACGGTCCTCGTTCAATGCCAACAGCAATCCAATCACCCACGTGCTTATCAAACACGATGTTTGCGCCGAGTGTGACTAAGCTGGGTCAACACGCGCTTTGTTTTGATATTCAAATCGCTGCCAACTTTTCTTCATGAAGTTTTTTCCGAAACGGAAAAAAAATGTTTCATACCGCACCATCAAAGTTAAAATAGACGGTAAGTAGGCGAAACTTTTATGAAGTTCTGGGAATGTTTTTTTGGAGGCTCAAACATACTCTCAGAGTTTTTTGGGGGGCATGGCTCCGTGGCCCGCCCCTCCCCCCCCCCCCCCCGGATCCGACTATGGGCTAACTGGGGAAAAGGACCCTTAGGCTAACTGAGAAGAAAGACCCTTAGGCTTACTGGGGAGAGAGAGCTTTAGGCCATCTGGGTAGAAAGAGCCTTAGGCAAACTGGGGAGAAAGAGGCTTGGGCCAACTGGAGAGAAAGAACCTTAGGTCACTGGGGAGAAAGAGCTTTAGGCTAACTGGAGAGAAAGACACTAAGACTCACTGGGAGAAAAAGCCGAGGACTAACTGGGGAGGAAGAGCCTTAGACTAACTAGAGAGAAATGCCATTAGGCTATCTGGGGAGAAATAGCCTCTGACAAACTGGCTACTCTGAGCCTTAGGCTAATTGGGGAGAAAGACCCTTTGGCTAACTGGGGAGAAAGAGCCTTGGGCTAACTGGGTAGAAGAGGCCTCAGGCTAACTGAGGAGAAAGAGCCTTGGGCTAACTAGGAAGAAAGAGCCTTAGACTCACTGGAGAGAAAGAGCCTTAGGCTCACTGGAGAGGAAGGGCCAGAGGCTCGCTGTCAATGACCAGCGGCATTCGGGATATGGTGTGGTGTGCGACGTCCTTATGATGGAGCACTCACCCGGTGCTGGGGTCGTGTCGGGCGCAGGGGCTATTTTGATTGTTTTCTTTCCGTGCACCGCCATGAACCAAATGAGAGTTGCCTTCGATACTTGCTCCTCCCTCCCACCCCCCATCCGCCCGCACTCTCCATGCGCTTGTAGTTTTTTATCTCCTGTCTTCCTCGCAGACCATCCCATGGTGTTCAGATCACGGCGAGGCTGCGACCAAACGGGGAATAGTTTTGTTGTCGGAATGCAGGTCCGTGGCCGGCAACGTCCTGGCTACAGTCAAGCCAGCGCGACTGGTCAGTGGTCAAAGTCGATGGTCGTGGTTACCCGCGCGGCCGCTAGACGTCGGCTGGGGATCACGGCTGTCCATAGATGTCGCCCATGCCGACGTCTATGGAGATATCAGCAGTGTCCTAGCATTGTCTACTTTGGGTGTAAAGCAGCACCCTATGGGAAGGAATTTTTCACTTTTTTCCCATATTTTATGTGAATTTTTCACTCCCGCCTGACACTGTCTAATCGCACATGTCAAACCCCTATTTCCCTTTCTGAGGTTTTCAGATGTCATCCAAAACGGAGCTCACTTGAAACCACCGAGAATAAACGAGGCTCCACAGAACCTGGACACCAGTGGATATGTCCTGCCTCGCCTACATCTGAATCATGTCTATGTATGCACAGAGCAAGGGCGCCAGATACCTCCAAGTCCAAAAACCCCAGCAACTACAGCCGCTTGCACGCATTAAGTTTGGTTTGTTCACAAAATGCATTACAATCGGCAGCTGTGTGCTAAATGCAAGGTTCTCACGCATCCCCTATTTTTTCGTCTCACTGCCACACCACGAAAGCAGAGCCTGGTGCAAACACCAGTAAGGCCTGGTAGAGAATTTACTCAACTTATTTCTTTTCCCCCGAGGAAACTTGACCACTAAATTGCATCACTCCCGAAATGCATGAGTGAAGGATTCAAGAAATGTCTTCCAAATTATGCTTACAAGATGAATATCACCATTAGAGCACTTATTTTAACGGATTAAAGTCAAATCAGCTGATAACAAAATTTTGCCAGAAGAGCATCAGTTTTTATACTTACTTAACTGCTTTTAGTTTTATTGGTATTATACGAGTGGGATACCACTTTGTTCTTCCTTTCTTTTGGACTGCCTTTAGCGGTGCTATCTGCTGCTTAAAATGTTGACCAACTTCTCTGCAAGATTCTCCAACTGCAAACTTGTACGTATTTTATACATAAATTGGATTAATTCACCAACCGCCCAAACATGTTTGATATGCACCCAAGAGTGAACAATTCACAGGGAGTGAAAGAGACAATCTGAAGCACGGGACTTATTTTTACCGCCATTCTTGCCCCGGTGAACCCTCGTTTAACCGTTTTCTTGGTTCATGGCGGTGCTCAGTGATGATAAATCTAAGCCTTTCAAGTGTCAACTCACCAGGCTACCTGAGAAGAGCATCCTAATGTTGCCACACAGAGCTTTGGGACAGACCTGGCGCAGCTAATACAGAAGTGTTTGATGGCAAAATTCTGCCCTCTGGAGGTGTTTGTCATGCACACCTCCTACTTGTCTCGCATTTTAATCCCGTAGGTTGGTGGGCATGACTGATATTTATATTTGGGGGGTGAGTGGGATGACTCTGTCTGCCAGCAGACCATGCAAAAGGTACTGACTTTTTGTCTTGGGGAGTAGGAAGAATTCAGTAAGCCTCCTTTGAACCAAGTAATCGCTTACCTTACCTGCTTTCAACACATGATTCGTAACCAGCGTTAGCCATTTGCTGTTTCAATCAATGGAGTTTTGTCATAGGACAAATTATGATGCCACAAGGCATGCAATGGGCTTATTTTCTACCATATTCTTGATTTTTTGTCCCAAATTTCTTGAAGTGGTCCCCCATGGCTGCTTTAACCAGATGTTTTCTATAGTTGTCATTGTTTGCTGGCTGGCAAATGACTACTGTATACATGCACTATACTTTTAACACAGGGATTCTCTAAGCCGCATAGGAATTATAATATGAGTTAAATATCAGTCTGTAACAAATAGTCAGAACATTCCATTTAAAATGTGAAGCCAACATGTCAAACTTTGTCATTAAATATGAATAAACTTGCCTAAATATATGCCTTTGCTGTAACTGAAAAGGCAAGCAGCAATACTGGCATGGTCATCTAAAGGTTGTTACTTTTGGAGAAGAGCGATTGTTTTGTGGGGCATACCCATTATTACCCTTGACATAGGTTAGCCATGACACTCAAAATAAGTTGTTCAAAGTGATTTCAGGTATTTTGATTTGTGTGTTGTCGACTTCGTCTGATGTCAACAAGCATACACAAATGAACTGAATAAAAATGCAAGTTGAAACCAGCCAAAAATGAGCTATATCATGCTTTTTATCATAAGCGCTGTTGTCAACAGTTAGGTGAGTTGAGATGATGTACAACATATGGGCTACTCTAAGCTAGGTTAAGTTGTTTAAGTGCATGGCAAGTGGCAATAGGAATTGTGCAAGAATCGGTAACTCACAACTGCTGCTGTGATACGAACAGGTTAGACAGGATGAGATGAAGTAAGGCCTGTTCACGTTACACAGTTAGGCTACTTTCATGGAATAAGCATTGGTATTTTGTAAGAAACAGCGACAAAATGTTTGTTTTCCCTGACCCTATCTTAAAAAAGCCAAAAGCGTGTCTACTGTGTTGGACTTGTGACTTGTAGGAGTCCAAGGTTTGTTTTTTTTTTTGTTGGAGTGTTTTAAGTTTTTTGAATTTTCTATTATTTTGTTATTGAATTCCTTTGCTTTGTTTTGTGTTAAATTGCTGTGGAAGGAAAGTGCAAAGTACAGCACAAAATTATCGGTGCTAATACTTGTTTATGCTCATTACACTGTCATGAAATTATTATGCTTTAATGTATTCTGTTTCACTTGAACGGCTTAAGACGTTAAAAAACAAAAATTGCTGTCCGGATTATGATATTTCGTCCATACCCACTTGAAATAAATGTCTTTGTTTGCTGAAGCATTAGTTACGATCTCATAAGCTCCATCTTTTGTGAATTGATTTTTTCACTCCTGCACGGTTTTATGCGATGGAATTTTTCATTCTCACCCTACTTCAAAAGCAATCCTAGCTCCCTGGA